CCATCTTCAACTTAAAGAACCAACCTGAGGTTAATTTTCCAAATTCACAATTTACATTGCTTACACATTATACTAAAAGTAAAAAATAGTTCAGGAAAATAATAGTTGCAAAATTCACAGAAACTACCAGTTCTAAGCGGCATGCCGAAAGCTTGGTTGCCAAAATGTCATTCCGTCACACAAGTAAAAAGTTCATAAAATTAAAAATAAAAAAAATACAAAATTCTTTTTTTTTAGTTTATGAATCACATTATACCAATAATAATGATATGCATGAGAAAAAATCATGTTTATTTGAAATTAGATGCATAGAAACTTCAATTAATTGTCATCATGCAAGTCAAAATGTCATTCCGTCACATATGGAATTGCCCTCATATCATATTACATTTTGTTCATAGAAATGCTCATTTTAAAGAATAGTTTTATTAAAAATGAGATTGAGGTACTTAGAGTTGTAATTAGTTATATCCTCTAATAAAAACTTCCTAAATCTACTGCTCTTTCCTAAATTCTTAATCTTTATCTTATTTGTAAAGTTTTATAAAAACATTTGCATAATTTATCTTTTGAGATTGTACGCCGTATTGTTTTGTGAAGAAAAAAAAAGATATTTTCTTTAACAAATTATAAGAAACAGCGTCCTTGTAATGCGGAATTCGAAATATATTTTATATATGTTATGAATATGTTATGACTCACAATATATTTTATTACATATTTATACAAGTTATTTCTCAAAAGCTACAAGTCAGAATATTTCTTTAAATGCTAGGAAATAAAATTTGAAACATTTCCTTCTTATTTTTCTCAAGGAAATTTTCTCCATCCTTTGCTCTAAATAAATCAAAAAATGAAATCGAAAATGTAAGCGGAGAATCAAATTGCATAGTTAGAATGGTAATAATAAAAAATGCATATGATAGTTGTAAAAAGAACAAGAAAACGAAAGAAACTGAGATTGTAACTATAGATTTTGATAAAATATAAAATTTTTACTTTAAGAAATATATTTTAGTATGCATATGTTTAAATATATAATTACATTTAAAAATTCATCTACTTTATTAAATAGATTAAAAAATTCGAAAACGATTCTAATTTTTAATATTTTTTTTCTATTTTATGAAATTAGCACTTATCATCATAATTAAAAAAAATATTGTACGCTTCAACATTTGTAATAAAGTACTATTGTGCGTATTGCTCCCTATTTGGTGATTTTCGACTGATTATATGACGCTTTCTAATCAGAAAATGAATTCAATTTACAAAAGCAAAAAAGAGACAAAAAAGTAAATAAACTATTAAAACATTAAATCAAAATGGAAAAGCACCTAAAGCAGCTAAACCCAAATTTGTTTTATTCTAATTTAGAATTTAAAACAAACATTAAATCTGTGAAGATTAAAATATTAAAATATATGTGTGTCTGTAAGACAGCATTTCTTCAGGGGACACACTGTCTACAAATACACAGCCATTCTGTTGACAGTGGGAAAACCAAAACTGGGCACTGTCAGTTTTGATTTTTCCGCTGACAACAGAAAGGCTCCTGTGTGTTTGTAGACAGTCTGTTTTACAGACACACATATATTTTAATATTTTAATTTTCACAGATTTAATATGACGCTTTCTAGTATCACTTGTCCATTTTATCGCTTAAAGCTCCTGGTGAAGCAATAATTATAAATTAGTATTCCGTTTTTAGAATTCATTTAATTTTTACTAAAATTAAAATATAATTAAGGAATAGCAAGTTTTTGTAGACTATATAATAAATAAAGACAATAATCAATGCATGGTAAACTAATAAAAGTTTTTAAATAGTAAGCTAATAAACTACATGGTAAACTAATAAAAGTCTTTAATCTTTTATGGTGGATATTTTTAATTTCAGGTTCCTATTTTTTTAGCCTAATACACTAAAGATCTTATTTTTATTGTAATTGTGGTATGAAAAAATCCACGGGATTGTTTTGTACAGCAAATTTCACAATAATTTGCACTATCAAAAATATTGAATCTGCCAGTATTACAATTTCCATTCTTTAGTTATAAGCTAGTATTAAATTAATATTTGAAGAATGTAAGACAAAAAAAGTTCTAGTATTATTTTAGTAAAATTTAAAAAAATTAACTTCAATCTTTATACATAGTTCTTCGTTACCTCAATAATTCTCTTTATTGTTTTCACATTTGTGAAGTATTTTTCGCATATATTTCAGTAAAATACGCGAAGGCTTATGTATTTGTTTATGTATAGTATAATTAAAAATAACTTTACGGACATATAACCCCCTGGGGAGCACACTGTTTCAGAGAACTGAATAAAATTTTGTACATAGCTAGTGTGGTATATGCGTTTAAAACTGATGTCAAAAACGATTACGTACCTCTACCGGTTACAGTGTCAAAACTCCGAAATTTTTAAATTGCAAGACCCACAATTCATGAATCGAAACGTAATCTTTGCATTAAAAAGCCTAAAATGGAATTGAAAGATATTTTTAGCACAATAAATCGTGACACTAGGATTTTGCCAAATGATGTCATTTTTGTGCCCACTAACGAGAAGAGAATGTGATAAAATCTTTGAAAATAAGAGCAAATTCACAAAGAAAGCGTATTGTTATAAATGTTGCTGACATGCTCCGTTCTCACATGTCTGACACGTCCATAGTATTTTTCTCTATTAATAAAGGTTTCGCTTCTCGTTAGTTCTTCACGGAAAAAATTTCATGATTTCGTCAATGTAACTGTAGCCATGAAAGCGACGCTATAGCTTTTTATTGTTCGTGAGTGCATAGATCATAATGTCTATGTACAAAAGTTTAGTCCATTCATACAAACATTGCCCTCTCCAAGGATCACACGTTAGCAAAGTTATTTTATAACCACCCTGTAGTGCTTATCTAATTAAATAGTACATGACATGTGCTTATAACTTTCATCAAAAATTACTTAATATAACAAAACAGTATTTATAAACAAAACTTACATAGCTTATGATTATATTGGATAACAAGAGATTATTTCGAAATAGAAATACCTGTATAAATTAAATATATTTATTATTATTTAGCAGTAAAAATATCTATCGAATATTACGATTAAATCTCAAAATAAAATCAATTTTTATTTTGAAGAAATATTTGCAGAAAATGAAGTCTTGCCTTAGAATTCATCTTTCAGTTCAATTGAATGGCAGAAATCAAAAGTCGGAATTACGAAAGGAAAGAAAGAATGATGAAAATCTTGGAAATAACGTATATGTAATGTAACAAAAAAACTATAGTTATAAGCATAACTTACATAGTTCAATTATATTGATATTAAGAGACTATTTCGAAATAGAAATACCTGTCTAAATCAAATATCCATATTATTATTTAGCAGTAAAAATATCGATAGAATATTACGATTAAATCTCAAAATAAAATCAATTTTTATTTTGAAGAAATATTTGCAGAAAATAAAGTCTTGCTTTAAAATTCATCTTTCAGTTCAATTGAATAGCAAAAATCGAAAGTCGGAATTACGAAAGGAAAGAAAGAATGATGAAAATCTTGGAAATAACGTATATGTAATGTAACAAAAAAACTATAGTTATAAACATAACTTACATAGTTCAATTATATTGATATTAAGAGACTATTTCGAAATAGAAATACCTGTCTAAATCAAATAACCATATTATTATTTAGCAGTAAAAATATCGATAGAATATTACGATTTAATCTCAAAATAAAATCAATTTTTTAAATATTTGCAGAAAATGAAGTCTTGCTTTAAAAAATAATCTTTCAGTTCAATTGAATAAGAAAAATCAAAAGTCGAAATTGC